CATGGGAAATGCAGGGTTACAGGGACAGGGTAGGGGGTGAGCAAGTCTGGGTGGGATTCTCTTCAGAGAATCAGTGTGGACTTGTTGGGCTAAATGGCCTGTTTCCACACTGTAGGGATTCTATTCCAAAATCATACTGAATGGTGGTGCAGACTCGAAGCCCTGAATGACCTACTCCCACTCCTATTTTCTACAACCAGATTTTGGTCCTGTGTTCAAAGTTAACAAGATCACCATATATACAATACAATACAGCACTGGAACAGGCCCTTCAGCCTACCAAGCCTGCAGTGATTCCTAGTCCTTATTTAGACCTGTTACTTAAACCCCATACACAGTTTCCTCTCTCTGTTTGCACCCCATTCACGTGTCTATCACGATACGCCTTAAGTGTTGCTAACATGCCTGCTTCCACCTCTACTGGCAGTGCGCTCCAGGCACCCATCACTTGTGTGAAAAATTTTCCCTAAATTTTCCCCTTCTCGCCTTGAAGATGTGCCCTCTTGTAGTTTACCTTTCCACCCTGGAAAAAAGCTTCTCACTATCCATCCTATCTATGCCTCTCAATTTTGTAGACCTCTACAAGGTCACCCCTCAGCCTCCGTTCTTCCAGTGAAAATGATCCCAGTTTAACTAACTTCTCCTCATAACTAAAACCATCCAGACCAGGCAATTTCCTGGTCAACCTTCTCTGCACCCTCTCCAAAGCATCCACATCCTTTTGGTAGCGTAGCAGCCAGAAATGCATGCAAATGTGATAGACTCTTAATTGACATCTGGCCCTTGTAAGCCACTCTGTTCAAAAGCAACTTTGCATGATAAAGTTAAATAAACCAATCCTACCATCAACAATTTATGCACATAGATATCTGTCACTCTGCTCTGGCAGAGTTGGATTGTACTCTCTATTTTATTCTTTTTTTTCCCCCTCTTATAAAGCTAAGCCACTTCATACTTCTCTGTATTAAATTTCATCTTCCACTTGATTGCCCAATCCTCTAATTTGTCTGTCTTTCTGATATTATATACAGTGGCTTTATCATTGGCAAGTGGAGCATATGAGTTAGAGAGTTCTGATGGAAGTGGACACCATCAGTCCAACCGAGCTTGGGGAACACCACTTGAATGAAGGCAATTGCATCGCCTCACTCAGGACATATTCTGAGGAACTCTAGGTCAGCCCACAGCAAAACCCCAAAACAAAGCCAAGCCTCGGCCAAATGGTTAAAATTTCCTCGTCCGGGAACTTTTGGAAAGCATGTTAGAAGACTAAGGAAATCTTGCCAGAGGACTCGCTATCTCCTGTGATTTTTAGGTCTAAACATGAAACTTTTTGATGCTACAATATCTCTGGGCAATTTTTGTAATCTGCTTATTTCCTCTTTTACTTGGATCCCTGTGGCTGAACATTTCCAGCTGTGAAACTGGGCTGGCAACCAGCAATAAGCAGTGCCAACACTGATTTGTAACCAACATCTGGAAATGTATATAAAAAGGACTCTCATTCCAAATTTCATTAGAGGGGCAGAAATCATGACTTGCAATCAAGAAATTCTTAGGAAATCATTGTTGGGTATCACTCTCCTACACCTATAGTAATGTTGCACTGGTATGTCACCTGTTTACTATTCTGCAAATTTGAAAAGTTAACAGTACAGACTGACAATTGCAATCTGTGGATACTAAGAATATTTTTAATATCTATGGTAAAGTAAATTTTTAAAATGCTTAGAACTTCTATGTATCTGAACAAAGAAGTTTAACTCTGAGCAATACAAACTCAATTTGCACAATGCTTTCTCAATAATCAACCTGCATTTCAATAGCCGAGCAAATTTCTGCAGATGCTGCAATCTGTACTGAAAACAAAAAGCGGAGATCACAATGGGTCAGACAGCATCCATGGAGAGACAGCAAGCTAATGTTCTGAGTCTGGATGAGCTCTGAAGAGTTGAAACGTTAGCTTCACCCTCCATAGATGCTGCCTGACCACTGTGATCTCCAGCATTTTTGTTTTCAGTGCTTTCAATCGAACCTTCGGAGCAGTAAAACATTCCCGGGTGCTTAAAAAGCTTGCGTATCAAGGAATTAAAGGGCTTGTGTTGAAAAAGTCCCATTTGAATTAATTGACATTATGAAAACATCAAACATTCCCTTAAAGGTAAACATTCACTGTTATCCAAGTGATATGAAACAGTTCTAACATTTATTGACACGTATAGAAAAAGAAACAAACTTTCATTATACTGTATATAGCATCTTTTGCAACAGCGGGATGTCCCAAAGCATCTCAGAGTCAATTAAATGCTATTGAAGTATGGTTACTGTTGTAAATGGAGGAACAAAGATTGGAACCGGAGCAGACAATTTGTATTCATCCAGATCTCAAAAATAACAATGAAGTTGAACAATTAACCTGCATTAGTAGTGAAGGAGAAATGTTTGACAAAGGCAAGTAGAGAACTCATGCTCCCCTGAGAATGGTATCCTGAGATTTTTATATCCACCCAGGAAGGAAGCTGGGACTTCAGTTTACCTAATATTCAAAAGACCACACAGCCAACAGAACAGCTTTCCATCAGAGGTATCAGCCAAGATTTTAGTCCTAAAGTCTTGGAGTGGAGCCCAAATTCAAACGTTCTGACTCAAAACGCAAACATTTTAACTACTGAGCCAAGCTGATACCTAATGAATGAAGAATGTATATAAAACACTTTAGTCCTAACATTTGATACATCTTAACATAAATAATTTAGAATATGCCCATCATATAGATAGAGCAAGAAAACAAACTGATATATTCCATGATTGATCTTGGAAGCTTCTTAAAAATTTTCAGGAAATGACTTAGAATTTCATTGAATGTTTGCAAACAATGGGTTAATAAGCTTGCTTGCCGAGAATGATTCTTGAACATGTGGGACATCTGCCTGTCAGAATAAGTAGTGTAGAAGGTCCACCGGCATTGTGGAAAATATCAAGAACAAGCGAGTTTGCTTTCTCCAAGCCAATAGTGTTTTGTACAACATCGATCGAGTAGATCAGTTATACATTACAGGGTTTTTAGCCCATAGATTTTTTTGTTTAAACTGGAATGCATTATTTACTAACGATGGTGATAAAGCTGCAGGAATCAGACTTTTATTCAGTGTCTGGCCCTCCGCGATATTATCGCCAAAGTCACTGCATCTATCTGCTATTTTAGCCAAGAAGTTGAAAACACTTCCGAAAGTAATGAATCTTTGATGGCGTTTGGAGGCGATGTCCTCGATCTTACTGTATAGTCTCATTCAAGGTCTGTGGTGCAGCGGTAAGTGGCCAAATCGGCCCCGAAGGCATACCTTAACAGGTTGATTAAAAGTATACCCACCATCATCTCAGTTACACTTAAAATGTTGCCTTCGATCTTTTTCGCGCAGTCCTTTCAATTCCACTGCCTACATTATTTTCCTCCTTCGAATACTGCGTACGTCAAATATTTAAATATTTAATATTTTTCAATTTAACCCGGAACAACGATTGATCGCTATCGAGAAGCGTGAAAAGGATTAGATGGACAAATCCTTCAGACTAAATTATTCGACCTGGTTACAGAGTTTGAGTTGTCGCTCGACTGACAGTGCGAGAGAAGCCAACCTCTTAATTATAACTACTTTCCGCTACCTGAATTAATGACATCCCCACGGTTTCAGACATTTTTTTTTTAAAAAGTGCACAAAGTACCTTCGTACTTTTACACAACAGTTTCACGTTTTCTAAACTTTTTCTTCACGCCCAAGATTTTTGAAATATAGCGCTCTATTAAATATTAACCGTTAGCCACCAACTCGTGTCAATCCCCTCGTTCCCATGTTGATCCTGAATGGAAAGTCTCTAGATTTATCTGTACGTTAGATCCCAGGTGGCCTGCCATTAGGATGCTAACCGTCCACAGAGACACTGCTTCCTGGTTACATGAGTCTGTGGTTTGTCCAAGTGTGAAATAATCGGATGTTTATGATCCTTCCCGAGAGAGTCACACCAACTAATGTGTCTGACCGGGAATTTCACATCACTCTTTCAACCCTTGATTGAAACTCAACGTAATGACTACTTACGCGTACTTAAAATACTCAAAACAGTAAGACAGACCAAATACATTTGATCTATTAGCTCTGCAGAGTGGGGGGGGGGATCTCTCGGTAAAGTTGCACAGATACAGGCTACTTCGAATATGCAGTAAATTAACCATGTAGTCAATACACCAGCCAGTCCAAACAACATTTTTGTTTCAGATTTGAAGCTCCTGGCGCCTCCTTCTGCTCCTATCTTCCCTGTATTAATGTATTATTAACCGGCGTTGCTGCTCGATCAGGCTTTGGTCAGTAACATTATACTGGCAACGGGAAGTTTTGTCTCCAGTCTCCTAGAGACGTTCACTCTGGATTCCCTCAACCTTCCCATGAAATTAGCAACACTTATGGGGAGCGGGGTGGGTGAGGAGAGGAGGGATGCTGCTCCGAACCCCCGATAACAATGATAAATCCAGCCGTGGACGTAGATATATCCGAATTTTTGAAAGCGAAGTCGCTCCAGATCACTGGAAACGTGCTTTTTTTTGCAAATAAAACTGTCACCCACCAACCTCCTGCGATGCACTTTATACAGTTCTTGCTGACATAGTTAGTTACACACGCTGACGGTAGATTGCTGACACAAAATTACCTACCCTGCCTCAGACACGCTCTCGATACTTTTTTTTGGGGTGGGGGGATCGGGGGTGCAGGAACTCTCTACGTTATTAATGTATTGCACACATCGCCGAACGTTTGCACTGACAAGTTCATTTTCCTCAAGCACTGACGAACTCTATTTTCAGCTTGGGTTCAGTAATGCTGGAGTTATATGCCCGCCCGCACCCCTAGCGAAGAACAGATCTTACAGACAACGATACTCGGACTAAGAAAAGCGCTCCCCCCGCATCCACCACAAACAAAACGCCCCGCTTCATGTTACCTTACCTGCTGAGTGAACGGATTCTCCTTGATGTAGCTGAAGACAAACGAGGAGAAGAGGAGGTCTTCATTTAGTCCACAGCCTGCCATCGTCAGCAGGAGATAGATGGATGGATGTATGGAGAGAGAGAGGGTGGGATGACGGATGGGGCTCAGCGCGAGAGCGAGCAACGGCCGTTGGTGTCCGAGCCGCAGTCACGTGAGCGAGCGCGTGCCTCCCGGGTCCGGGTTCCAGATGGCAGCCCGCGCGCCGCTAGCCGCCTCCTCGATGATCAGCAGCAGCACCGCTTTGAACAGCACCTGTTGCAGCCTCCCCTGTCGCCCTCTAACCAGCCCGCACGGCTGCCCCAACCCTCCCTCAGTCCCTCCTGCAGTCAGTCACGTGCACGCACGCCTCCTTTTTCCACCTTCACCCGCTGGCGTGACACGAGTCTAGGAAGCACGGCAGCGAAACCAAAGAGGATGCTTTGGTGTGCAGGCGGGTTGGGTGACAAATCAGGGGGTGTATAGGATGCAATCAGTAGCGAGGTTTCAAATGGAGCTCAGTGACACCATGGAGTTAAAATTGCCGGCAAAATGCAATGCAGTCCGTGAGACTTTTCCCCCCTCCCCTCTCTCCCTCTGGTTATTTCTACTCCTGGGAAATAAGGCAAAAAAAAGTGTCACATGCGCGGTCCCGGCTTCCTGGCAAGTCCAGCAGAGGGGTTTGGGAATGACAGGTAGATTGTGTTACAATTAGTCGCTGTGTGCTGTCAGGGATAGAGGGATTCCAGATGATAACGCTGGATCGGACTGATAAAGAAACGGAACCGATTTATTTTCTTGTCTGATCTTTCCTCGCAAGCCTTTCCCTTATGGTCATCAAAGCAGACGACGCAAATGAGGCACTATTTATGGGGTTAACGCAGCTTACTCAGTGCAGTCCAGCACCTGAGATTTCGATTGTCCTTTTAACTTTCACGTTCAGTCCCAAGAGACTTTTGCCCACCAATCGGCACTTTTCAGAGCTATAATCGGACCAGATTCCACGAGGAATGTAATATGATTAAATGAATCAATTCCCACCAGGGGCCATGTTTATACAGTGTTTCACTGATGATCACTTATTCTCTGCGGAACTGTTTTCACAGTCTTCGCACGAGTCCAAACCCCGGAGTGGATAGGAAACGGTTTCTCATAACGCGCTGAGCTCTCTGCAAAATTGGTGCTTTGATACTAAATCAGTTACTGCAATATGTCCTGTCGAATATTAACCCCTATAAAATGGAATCCAATTTCCAATCTTTACAGAATGCTAAAATCCAGAATTCACACCAAACTTCAGGTTGCAGACTTTTCACCAAAGTCGCTCGGTATTTTTACGCCCTCGAGGTTCTGCTGCTTTACCACTCAAACGCAAGAGCTTGGGGGCTGAACCCTTCTTTAATTATCAAAGCGAGTTAGATCGGTCATGAAGCTATGGCTATCACAATCCTACTTTGCTCACCTAATATTCGGGAGAAGAAGTTATTTCCGACCAGCACTTTTCTTCAAGCCAGAAATTGTTTGTAAAAAAAAACACTGGAACCTCACACCGCTCCTTTCCTCTGCCGACAACCTTCTTTTCGAGGTAAGAAATCAGGTCTGCCGATAGTCTGAACAGTGTTCGTCGGCAAAATTATAAAAACGTGCTTTACGTCTACCTCTAATTTAACAGCGAGCACGATGTTTCCTCCTGACTGCCCGGGTTAATATAAAAAGCGTGTTTCCAGGTCATGTGAGGATGATGAGCTGGGTGTCTATGCAGGTGCTGGATACGTAATGGAAAACGGCTGAAACCTTGGAGAGTTCCGTTGCCATCACCCAATACACCACAACAATATAGTACAGCCTACTACTGCACGCAAACCATCAGCCGCGATCTCACAAGATTTTTATTACGGCACAAAAGCAGACACTTCCAAACCGGAACGTTTGAGACGGCGTCAATTCACTTTGGAGGGTCCCGCTTTCAACTAAAAACCAGCAGCAGAGTAAGACAAGCTCGCTTGTTTTAAGAGGAAGCAAAGTTTACGTTCTCGGCCACTGACTCGGGTAATGAATAAACTCGCCGTGCACAGAATTCTTTTCTAAAAATAACACCGCTTATCGTGGGAAAACACAGTAAGACTATTACTGGTTTGTGGAATTAGCTGCAGACCGTATTGCTTTCCTACCACTGAAAAGCGGAGTACCATAACAGCGCTTGAAACCCGTGCACCGATTTAGCAACACTTGCATAAGCATTATGCTGCGTACTCATTCACAGACAAAAATGTATTAGTAAAACTATAAATAAATAAATTTGCGTCTAATGTTTACTCCGTTATTGATTGTTGTAAGAAATTTGCGCTTAGTTTTTTTGGCTTCAGTTCAGTAAATAGGCTTCGAACAGCTTATGACCCACTCTGGTTTCATGTGTCTAGAAATTCACGAACTTTACCCCATTTAACAGCGCACGATGGAATATCGAAATATGTTGCTCACATGAAAACCATTTCACAAATGCACTGTGTTTTGTATAAATGTAGGTCTGCAGGTTGCGTCCGGAGCTGTGGTCCTTGTCTATTTGGCATTTCCTTTCGATATTAATTAGATACGCTGTAGGGATTCGTTGCCATGTGACTGCTCCTGCTTTCTCCTCGTCCTACTGCATTGGCAGTACACGAAGCAAGTTAGTTCGCGTAGACGCTGCACTCAGCCGGGTTCAAAGTGAAATCCGGATTTCCGACATTCACTGATCTTTGAGTTGGCTTTGTACAGGCGCGAACTGAGAACTGAAAAAAGCGCAGATTTGATCTATTCTAATTACGGATATGACAGATAGTAGGAATTACGGTTTGCTTTTTATTTCACAAAGCAAAACAAAATTGAAACGCCCCACTTTTAACAGTATTTTGTAAGATGTTGTTATCAAATGAGCCCTTGTTTTTTATACTCTGTGGATGTGGATTCGAAAATTCTGGCGCAGCACTTTCCACATTTCATTCGAATTCCTGATCAACAATGGAAAATGCAGGGGAGAGTTTTCTGAATTAGTCCAAATAATCTTCTACAGCATGATTGAAAGACACGGGGGAGGAATAATGGCAGGGCCCGTTAATACATACCTCACAAAAATTTCTACAGTCTAATTAGGCAACCTGAACGTCTTAAATCCTTGAAAATTAAGCCAGTACTCACCGTTTTAAAGCCACCTTTCATAATCATTGCTTTTAAATAATCTCACACGGTTATTGTAATAGTAACATCAATCTGTTCACCATATTTTATGGATTTATATCTTTGCATTATAAACCTATCATTATATTCCTAGTAAGAGATAACAAGGTGTAGAGTGGATGAACACAGCAGGCCAAGCAGCATCAGAGGAGCAGGGAGGCTGACGTTTCGGGCCTAGACCCTTCTTCAGAATCCTGATGTAACGATACACCTCGGGCGTAGTCAACTTTGGCGTATTATTTTTTGGGGTCTTGTTTAGGTGCTGTTCCTCTTGATTAGTCCTGCACTACTAGAAATTAGTGAAGTTATTTCCCCACGGCTACTTTTTGTTTTCTTCCACAGTGACTTGTCTAAACTTTGGTGAAACATCTTGTCATATGTGTTAAATATTAGTGTTTACAAATACTTCAAGACTGGTTTAAATTAAGGAGTACTCTTTTACATGTCCTGGAATTAAAATCTTTCACACACACCCTTTTTAGGGAGCAATGGCCTTTGAAATTATGCATCAATGAGTCAATAAGACTTTGTTGTTAGCAGTGAAGATGCAGATCCACTGCATTTGTCAAGGAGGAGGCTTCTTACATTTGCTCGAAGTGCGAAGTTGCTTATCATTTCCAGTTTCTCATCGATAATCTTACAATATTAAGCTGACTTGCAAAGAAGCAAAATAAATGAAAGAATAATGGGGATACATAATAAGTGTAAAGATAAAATAAAATATCAAATAGGACTTCAGAGTTAAGTATAATAGGCTTGATTATATAGGCTTCAGTATTACAATCCTGATAGCAGGAAGAAGAGTCATTGGACACAAAACATTAACTCTGCTTTCTCTCCACAGATGCTGTCAGACCTGCT